GCGGGCCGGTTCTCGGACCGGTCGCGGGCCGGGGCGGGCCGACCCGGTCCCCCTGCCACCCCTAGTAGAGACAAACAAACGTCCTGCTACGCAAAAATGGTGTCTCTCCATTGTCCGTTCAAAAATATTGTAGGGTTTCATCGTCCCCTTCACAGACCTCAAACTTCCTTCATTACTTCTACACGCGATGCCTTTCCTACCCAGTTCAATTTCAGGTACAAAAGCTTCAATTTTAAGCTCTCATCTACTCAATTTTATCTTCTTCCTGTTTACTTGTCTAAGTCTATAATTTGTTGTAATTTCTTAAAGGCTGTAGCCATCGTTGCATCCAAAATCGAGTTTTTTGCTCTCATTTTCCTCTTTCTTCATTTTTGACAAAACAGGGGTTTGAATTCTGAATAAATCGTGTTTCCGTAGCATTTATTTGTGACATACAATGCTTCTTCAGCTAATTAGATGACCAAGTAATTGAGTGAGTGTGGTGTCAGTTCAGAGGGGGGAGGGAGGACGAGGAATGTGATTGAACATGCCCACATTGGGGATACAAATGTGACTCCGTACCAGGGGACCCAAACCCAAACCCAAACCCAAGACCTCTAATTAAGGATAAATGAGTACTTATCACTCTACCACAACCCTTGTTGGTCGAATCCTGCAGTTTATTGTTAGGCTTAATAATGTGCCAGGATTTCTCTGCTAAATAGATCTAAAGATGTTTCCCCTTCTTCACGATTTGATTATTTGATGTAAAACCACACTTGCACAGTACAAAAGAGAAACTATTAAAGGTAGTTGAATTAATAATATTGTACGACACCAACATGAGTTATGGTGCTTTGGTGGACGTGTTTCACTCTTAACCAGAGGTCTGGGGTTCGAGCCTTGAGTATGGAGAAAATTCTGTTGGGAGCACCAACCCCGATTGGGCCCTGTAGTGCGCGATCTGGATTTAGTCGGAGCTCTAATGTGGGCTCCGAACACCGGATGGGAAACAAAAACAAAAAAAATAATATTGTATGACATCTAGACAATCTTAGTTTATGGGGTGAAGTATTTTCAATTTTCAATCTTCATATTATGGTGAATGAATTTGCCTTTCATGTCCTACAGGCATTAGCAATCTTACATTATGTTGTCACGCCTTAAAAGGTCTATAATTGTTTTCACTACCCAAGACTAGAGTGCGGAGAACAGTCAGCTCCAGTTCTTATTATTGGATCAGATGTTTGGAAATAGAAGACACCTTTTTCAGTATATGTTATCCAAATTTGGACACAATTAATGTAGCCTGACTTTGTTGTATACAAGGAGCCCCCTAAAATAATAAAATACAGAATTTTTAAGGTCGAGGTGTTGTGTTAGTCAGATGATTATTGATGTCTCCTTAGTATAACTTAGGTGGTTTATGATATCTTTTTCGTTATACTTTGATGGGATGTTATCAGAGATAGTTGTAACTACTTTGTTTTCTGTTTTGTTTTTCAGATTCAACAATGTTTTGAGTGTACATCTAAGGCAGAGACTACTACCTATATCAAAATCAAGCACCAATCCTTCAGGAGGACCAGAGAAAAGCAAGGATGCATCAAGCCCACCATTAGCCACCATTTTGGCTGGTGTCTTAGTCTTTTGTGTCGTCTGTTGGATCGTAGGATCTATTGTAATCTGGCTCATAAGTCTCATAACTAATGTCCCGCCATCAAAATAAAACCAGAGTGTGCATTGTAGTTTGTTTGCGCTTTGATCACTAGCTAGACAAAGCCATCTTTTGATTGCAGCCTAAATAGTGATGCTTTCCTTTATGTTACCAAGTGTGAGATTAATACTGAGTTGCTAATTATTTCTAACAATGCTGAAACATTTGTGGAGTTTCTGGTTAGCTCAAATGGCATGATACTTCAGTTAGAGCATACCAGGAAGTATCACTCATTCTGTTTTCATCTAAATTTCAAGGTTTTTTTTTTTTGTTTGTTTGTTTTAGTTTCTGAATAAGAGGTTTATACTTTATTCTTAAGGCATGACAGATCCAACCTTGGGATTTTGCCAATCTATTATTGACTCAACCATTATTGGTTATTTATCATGTAATTTCATTTAACTGCCTGAATGTTTCTTCAAATATAAAGACATTTCAGAGCCAACTATGTATTGACTGTTGATACAAGACTATAGGATATGGATTGAATATTACTTAGGGCCCGTTTGGATTGACTTAAAAAAAGGAACTTTTAAAAAGTAACTTTTTAAAGTGCTGGAACTTATTTTAAAAATAAGTAGTTATGTGTTTGGATAAAAGTGCTGCAGTTGAAAAAAAAGTTGTTGATGTGTTTGGCAAATAAGTGATGGTAAACACTTTTTTTAATCAAAATGTCTGAAATACCCTTTAAGCTGTTAACATGATAAAAAGTTGATTAATTTAAGGTTTTTATACTTAAAAATAAATTTATATTTTTCATCCATAAGTAATAATATTTTCCTATCATTCACATATTTCTTTACCACCACAAATTATTTATAAGAGGAATAATAATAATAATAAATAATAATAATAA